AAAGATGATGAACAAATTGGGTTAATTACTAACATAAAATTTTTCCTTCTTTTACAGTATGACGAACAAAAACATTATCATGAAAGAATTCTGTTGAAATACCAAACAAAATAAGAACATTTCTGTTAAAAGAATCACTTCATCAACAGTGTCACTTACTAGAGTTATACTTATAATTTAACTTATATATTTTGTTCGTCTATCTCCAAAAAATTCTTTATTGGAAATTTAACACAAAGTAAGACGAACTTGTAGCTAGATAGCAGATTCTTGTATTGTGGAGGTCTCTACTACTCGCTAGTAAAGTGGTTCACGTGGAAAATGTTTTCTCAACCACAAGCCATATTCTTTTGAACAATAAATCCCAATCTCACGTACCCATATTAACAATTTTTTTGTTTAAAACCTAATTAGTTGTAGGATTTATATTGGTTCTATAGTTATTATTCATTTGTGAATAGCATGTAACAAAAAAGTACTTGTTAAATAAATTAATTGTTAGTTATTGTTAACACTTATTCATACAATTATGGTTTGCTTACAATCTGCTTGTCGTTAAAACTAAGTAAAATGTTAATTTTTTTTCATTCACATCATAAATGGTATATTTTTTTCCCAATTGTCTTTTATCTAATAGAATAAATTGAAAGCGCTAAATATTTATTTTAACTTGATGACTAAGTCAAACAGTTGGTTAGGTTTTTCAAGAACGATTCATGTCTTATAATTGGTGACTAACATATATATATATATATATATATATATATATGTATCTACTAAGGTGAGTAGAATGCCTCATTTGACGTAAAAGTATATAGTCAGCACATCAGTTAATTCGGTACCATTAAAATAACGCGCTTTTGAAGTTCTTTGAATGGTTTAATGACTGTTCTAAAATTAAATTCATCATTGATATTTCCTTTTACTTATTCATTCATACGGTAGAATAATTCTTACCTATTTATTTATGAATATAAAATTTACATAAAGATAAGTAAATTGTTCCAAATGAGACAGTATGTAAAACTGAAGCAAACAATCTACCGCAAAGTAACCAGTATAAATCGATATAAAATCTTAGATGTGTAAAAAATGTGTAACCCTTGATCATGCATGGAAATGACTAGTCTCCAAAAAATTTTAAATACAGTCAAATATGTAGGCTTCTGAAATATAGATGCTGAAGTTGAGCAGTAAGAGATTTTATATGTATCAATACATGATATCCTCGAATTATTTCATTGATATAATAATTACTGTCCATTAATTTTAATGTAAATAAATGATCATAACAGTTTTTATTACATGCTTTTACGTACATAGTATCGTTTCAACCAATTTCTAAGTAGAAAAATCACAAAATCGAAATAAAATATAAATAATAAAAGCTGTTAGATTCATAAAAAAAAATGTGAAACATTCCAAGAAATTGATATTTGGAAATATTTTAATATTCTCCTACTGAAACTGACATTTTTTCATCGTTAATGTGTGCTTATTTTTTTCTCTAGAATTTTACAGTATTTATTTTTGGAAAAAATTAATCCACTAACATACATAATTTTTTAATTTAGTGAAATGATGTTAAATTTACTAAAATTACTTACAATAATAGTGAAATTATGGGGTAATAATGTAGAAATGTTAGAACTAAGTAACCGATAAGTTGAAGTACTATTTTTATATTTTATTTCAGTAACAGCTAATCTACTAAAAAAACCCTGAATAAAAGCGTAGCAAGGTAATTAAACAACAAGCGAGAAATATAAATAACAGAAACTAACTTAAAGAAGAACTAGATTGATGATATGGATTTTGGCGAGTAAAGATGAAAATTTTAATTTACTAGAAAAAACAAACAAACAACGAAATTTAGTGTGCGAGAAACAGTGTTTTCTTTTCAGAGAAACAAACATTTTTAGCTAAATTCACATTGGGCAATAACCCAAACTTATGGACAAACCAACATCATTTCATCATTTGGAATTCAATATCCACTTATTCTTCTGTTCATTACAACCACGAGTGTAATGTTGGTTTGTCCTAATATAGACGTGTAACACCAAATCATGGTGATTAAATAATAATCACAACCCATAGAAATAGTTCAGTAGACTCATATTAAGCAAGTAAACATTGGTATGTTAAAACTGAATCTCACTATCAAATAATCTTGTATTTAGATTCATAGACGGACAAATAATTATTGGTCATCTATGTTCAACACGTTGTTTTACTATCGTGTGTGGCATTTCCATTACTTTTTTCCCAGCCAAACACACAAAAAAGGTAGAAAATGAAACTTCAAGGGACTTTTTTTTCAAAAAAAAACAAAATATAACTAATCGCACCACTTTTTAAGGAAAAAAAATTGGTAAGTTTAATTGATACATTTTAACGAAAAGAATACAAGTATCAGTTGGTGTTCTGTTACCAACGGTAAAAGTAGAAGTAGTAATAGTAATGGTGAAAGACATTAATTAATGTTATTGTTTATCTTTTCTGTTGCCTTTTTTTCACTCTGCACTCTTCTACAAAAGAAAAGAGTCATTAATGACTAGAAATAATGAATGAAAACAGAAGTGGAATTTGGTGACCAAGTTTTTAAATATTGACTTGAAAAAAATCGGTTGTTGGCTATAAATGAATTGAGATATTTGTATCAGAAATGTAATATATTCAGTTGGCAATGATTGTTTATCTAGTTTGCTTTTTAGAATAACCACTGTAGAGATATTAATATAGTCATATCTACACAAAAATATTTACCGTCTCTGAGAATTCAAAGTTAGGGCTTGGCTTCGGGACGCAGTTGGTTGATTTCCTCAATGTGTGTCCTATGCACCTCCACTACTTCTTTCTGATTTCTTCTTCTTATGAAATGTGCTTTGTTCTCTGCCACAGTAGGGGTTGTTGATGATGGTGTCTGACCAGCGCGTCCGAAATTTTGTGGGTACTTAACTGTTAATGAACGACTGTATCTTCTGGATGGTGGCTTTCGTGGTTCTCCAAGTTTGCAGTCCATACAACAGAACTGTCTTTACGTTTGTATTGAAAATTGTGAATTTGGTGCTAGTTGACATACAGTTGTTTTGAGCTAGTGACGTTCTTCCATTGTAGAAATGCAGCTCTTGCTTTGCCGATGCACGCCTTATGAGGAGAAACGTAGGCCTCGTGACTTTTGAAGGAATTCGGATTTCATCATGAGACATTATGACTGTTCTAAATGAAGACATCATAACTCCGAGGGCAGAGTTTAAATGGTTCAAATTATTTATTCTGGTTAGCGTTGTTCTGTAGCTAGTTATTTTTCGGTGGGATGTGGTCACTAACTCCATGCCTAACCTTCCTCTTCTATTCAAGCATGGGTCATATAGTAACTTCATAAATACCCCAGAGAGAGTATCGGATTATCTTAATATCTGTCGGTCATTTAATACGTCAGTAACTAAAAATTCATTTGAGTAATCTTACCACTTAAGAGCTCATTATCGTGAAAAGTGTCCTCTGTTTGCCTATTACATATAGTCAGTCTGTAACGCAGTCAAGAACTTTAGCGTTCTGTAAAAGGTATCGAAACAAAAATAATCACAGAGACTGAATAGAAAAAGTGTTCTGTTCAGAAAAAGATATAAATTTGCCTGACATTTCTACATAATAAATTTTGTTCCACTGACATAAAAATTAAATCATTAGCTGAAAACTATCAACTTCTTGAATAAATTACCGAAAGGAATAATTTATGCATTTAATGACCAGGCAACAAACTATCATCATTTCAGTGTTCTTCTAATTCCAATGCATAGTTGGTTAACATTAAACTATATGAAAATCAAAACTCATCAGATAATTCATTTAGAAGATAAATTGTTTTTTTTACTTTTACTGTTCTATCAAAACTTTGATTCCTTATCGGTTGTTATTAAGTTTATTTTCAGAAAACAAACTGGATTAATGATCATAAAATTCAACATGAAATATAAGTCAGCTTATTTTTTTCTTATATTCATACTGCTTTCTTTTGTAATGAATAATAAGTGTTCATTAAAAAAATATTCATTAAATCCTAATTATTTGAACTCAATCACTCCATATTGATATATGTATGCGGACAATATAAACCTACACCTTGACTCATATAACTTAATAACAACTGTGATCACAGTTAAATATAATATTATCAAGTTTATACAAAATCGAATGCTGATTGATGCTGATTGTAAAGTATATAATGGTAGACAATGAAACGCCTTTTTTAAGTTCTTAACTCATGACGATAAAAATCAAGAAATAATGATCGGTATAGATCGGTATGATCAAAATAAATGCTTAGTGTAGTCAGATGTACACGTTTTGTTCGTTCAGTCGGAAAAATCATTTAATTGGTTGTAAACCAGTTTTTAAGTGTAATCTTACTAGTTGAATTCAATAGAACCTATTCAACATTGATTAAATGTTAAGGTTATATGATTTTTGCATTTGAAAATCACTTGATCTAAAGATTGTTTGAGTCGCTTCACTAATTTAAAATGATAATTTAAATCAGTTTAGATCAATGTATAATGAAAAAGAGTCATTCTAATTGTGATAGCTAAAATTACACAAATTTTAAAATTAAGCTGAAATCGTAATTTTTGATTTACGCGACACATGATAATTAAACTATAAAATATAATTGGCAGTGTATTAATTGTAGAACTTCATTCAATTTCATACAAATGATCATGCAGTTAGTAGACAATGGTTATTTATTTACTAATGAAGAAGCTGAGTTACTATTTTTGATTAGGCAAACGTAAAACTGAATCGTTGAATTAATATAAAATGGAAATTTAATTACACTGTCTGTAAGACATACGATTAACTCACACATAAATTTAATGCCTTAACATGCAGAAAAAATATATCTTTAAAACAGAAAAACGAAATATCCTCACTTCTGAGTATGATATTACCAAAAACATTTAAACTAAGCGCCGTTACTTAACCATGATACCTTTTCAGATTAATCCTCTGTCCATATCTTCAAAATTAACTTAAAGAGTAGTGCAAAAGGAAATGGATCTAAAAATACAGGAACATCATCTTTTTACTAGTGAATCGATATTTTTATCCCTCATATCAATTTTTCCGGTTAATATGATCAAAAAAGAAACTTATAGAAATCTATGCGCTGTAGAACATTAAAATTTGAATAATTATGCAGTAAGTAAATTTTATTTTTCAAGGAAAATTGAACAGTCTAATTCTCAGGATGACAATCAAATCATGTAAGCTAGTAGAGTCAAGACTTCCTTCACAAAACCTGATTCGGAAAGCGAAAAACGTCATAACATTGCTACACTTCAATAAAGTGTGAAGTGTTCTTTAACAGTAACAGTAAAAATGAATTATACACAAACTAAACCGAAACGATATATATATATGTTATACAACATGTAATAATTTCAAATGCTTAGAACATAGTTGTTTTAACTAAATATAATAACGTAGATTAAAGAACAAACTCAGTGGTTAAATAATTGCAGAAATAAACTACATGAAAACTTACCTTGAAGTCCACCATACGTTTTAGACAATTCAGCTAGAGAATAACGATAATCATAATTATTACTGTGTGTTTTATCGGCTGAATTTGTATACGAGCTAGACGAAATACCATCATCATAGTCATCCGTTGAAATACTGGATAAATTGTACATTTTCTGTCTTCTCATGATAAATAGCTTGAAAAAAAAGGATTTTGGTTCATGAAAGAATAATGAAATCAACAAGTGAATAAGTCAGGAGCTAAACAGTTTTACATCATTTTTGTTTAAATCAGTTTTTAAAAGTCACACAGAATCATTTGTCTACTTTTCAAATATTTCAGTTAAATGTTTTTATAACACTTAAGCTTATAAAATTAGTGTCACCGCAATTTATAATAATATGACGTAATAATGACTAATTTTAACTTTGGTTTAAATGATGATATAGAATAAAGGCAGTTGTAAAATAAACAACAATAAACAATACGGTTCTCTACTTCTATTAATATGAGTGGTCGTGGTAAAGGTGGTAAAGTTGGTAGTAAGGCTGAGACCAGGTCAGCGCGTGCTGGTCTTCAGTTCCCAGTTGGTCGTGTCTATCGTCTTCTTCGTAAAGGCAATTATGCCGAGCGCGTTGGTGCTGGTGCTCCAGTTTATGTGGCTGCAGTTCTCGAATATTTGGCTGCTGAAGTTCTATATATATATATATATATATAAGCAAAACATCATATGAACATAGTTTGCAATCGCATAAAAACGTCCATACATGAGACAATCAAACTCAATGCTTCAATCTTTTGAATCCCTACTTAGGAATCGAAAAATATGTTGCTTCTTTCAATACGTACAGTTCATAGTTTGATTCTGTATGAGACTATACGTACCCGTGGCTGTGTAATATTAAACCGAATTAAAAATCCTTTCTTGGATTTATTGGTTCACAATGAATCATTGATTGATATTACAACATGGGAAATTAACGTTAAGTGAAAAAAACCTGGATGTAGTGAAACCATGAAGTATTTGATTATTTACCTAAATTTTTATTACCGCTTACTTCAGTGTATACACATTCATATGGAGGATATCATTAGAATTGTTCACATTATCAGTTCTTATTGATCTTATGTAAATAATGGTGAAGGTTTGTATTTTTCTAAAATTTTGATATCAAAATCTTAATTTGACCAATCGCTATTAGATTATCGGCCTTTTGAACAGAGACCTACATGTTACTTTCACTAAAAATTTCATCATTATTCTGGGTTATTGACTAATCAAGTTGTCAAAGTGATGTTCTATCGCTCCAGTAAATATCGCTTACAATTTTTAGATGATTAATAGTGTAAACATTGTTGATATCCACACCACAATATCAAGATGTCATGCTGATAAGTTTCAAATTTCACTACCAATTACTATTCAGAATATAGTCAATTTTTCTTTTTAAGTTTTCTAAATCCATCAGAAATATGGTCAAGATATAATAACATTTATTTATTTGACTATATTGAGAAGTGTAGTAATTTGAAAACTGTTGTAATTCAATGATGTGTTTTTTATGAATTGAGTATTGATTAAAATTGTCAGCTTTGGTTTTCTGTAACATTTTTAATTTGTTCAAAGAATATTTTAACTAAACGAATGTATCATTAAACATCTGTACCGATCTTTACATGAGATGGTGGAGAAAATTTGCAGCTCAGGTGGATGATTGTGGTGGTGCTTCGTGCTCTGAGCTGGATATTCTGGTTGTGAAGCTTTCATTGTTCTTCTGAAGTTTGTGCTGATGATGTTGTTCACAAGAACAATGAAAGCTTTACAACCAAAATATTCAGCTCAGAGAACGAAACACCACCATGATTTGTACATATTTCTAAAGTTTTAAAATGAACAAACAAATCAATAAGAGAATATTCGTTCGATTGAATATTTTGTTAGATATTCCAAGTATTTTCTTCTCTCATTCAAAAGATTCAGTCACTTATCAAACTATCTGTCGCAGATTAATTTTAATGCCATACAAGAAGAAAAAGAAACGAAAAAAATATCAAGGATTTAAACAAGAAAAATTAAACGTTGTTTTTGTTCAATATAAAACATTCATATTGATCATCATACAATATATATTTGCAATTCACCTTTCACACTTCCATCTTAAAACATTCTATTCTAGTGAACATCGTTTAAAATCTACAGTCAAAATTAATGAAGAATTCTCTAATCAGGTTAATTATTTCATTACAGTGAGAAAAGAGTCTATTTTCTAGGGATATCTGCTGTGACTAATAAGATATATTTTAAAATATGTCACGAATGAGATTGATTTTAATTGTGATCATGAGAAAAAATGTAGGTTTACGGCGGAAAACCGATCAATATCGACAAGTATTATAGTTGAATGACTCTGAAAAATTTTGACATCACTGTCAAGATCATGGAATCATTCAAATTTCTGTTAATAATGCTAAATTTCTACAGAGACAGTAACTACAAATATTGCCACTACCCTTACGTGCTTAAAAACTAAGCTTTCATTAGTAAATATGCTGACTTGTACAATTTCATATCTTTCCTGTTGCTTTGCTGAAATGCCACGTTTTTCCTATACTTTGTGTATTTCCAGTGTTAATGAATAATTTTTGTAGTGTAGTGTGTCATTTGACGTTTGTCTTCAATAGAACCGTTAGTGAGTGTCGTAGGTTAACCAGAAACTCTAACAGACACGGTCGTTTTTGTTAGGACTTAACAAATGTGCAGTATTGTTTCACTGAATATAACACTAATAATTTGTGTCTTTATATCTAAGAAATGATCACAGCAGTATCGTTTAGTATTGTTGTTTAAACACTGACACAGTTTACTTTATGTTGGACGGTGGAAACATATAAAAAATCCTCACGATTATAGTGGTTTAAATTCTTATTCACTAATTAAAAAGACCGTAAATAACCCTCAGTTAAACTGGACTATGTAGATGTACTACTCATTATCTAAGTAATTAGCATAATAAATTCTGAAGCAAAAGGTATTAAGTTCTAGACCTGATGTAATCTGGATACATCCAGATGATAAACTCCAATTAGGATAATATATGAGCTCTGGATTGTGTAATCTATCTATTTTAAATTATTTCTCATAAACTAATTCTTGTTCATGTCTAATCTGTTTTTCTCTTCATACTGAAAATGCATTTTTAACAAACAAGACAAGCATACAACGTCATTTCAATGATCAATATATATGTACGCTAAAAGTACTTCTAGATAATAAATAAGGATAAGTTTATGATTTGTAAATTTATCCGAATTGCGATAATTACTCTGAATCATTATGATTTTTTAGTGTGAATGTTTCGTTATTGAAAAAGAAACATTTATTACACTGAGTTATTATTGCTGAGAAAAAAAAATTAATGCCTTTTATGTATTATGCTATCATCAGTATGATTTTCAAAGAAATACATTGTATTTCTTCAACAGAATTGTACTGTTCAGTGTACTTGTTGTCGAGTACAGTTGTGCTGCTGTAGGTGGAACTGTGCGAACAACTTATTGGTTGAGAGAATATATGTATATATGTCTATAATACTGAATAAAGACTGAACGAGCGACTACCTGACATTTATATGAATAAAATAGACACTGCATCGTATTAGTGCATGAAAAATGACAACCAGTTAGTTACATGTCATTTATAACATTATTAGCATTAACAATAATGTATGTCAGCTGTAAATCGAACCAGATGAAACTAATTTTTTTTTCATGCATAACTTAAACTTACTACTATTATCTTTAAAATGGTACAGAGGAAATTGATCAGTTCCGATAAAAGTAATGATTATTGCAAAGAGCATAATATATCCATACATAATTACTCATGTAAAAACATCCATTACAGCATCATCACATTTACTATGATTTACAAATCAATCTAGTAATCATTTGACCAAGTCTCATTTGTTCGCCCTCTCAATTTTTTTAGAAATCAAAATGACATTTGTAAATTGGTTTCGTATAATAGGTTATATTAATCAACAAGTGATGAGTGTTATTCAGTGAATCGCTACTCGAAATTCGACCATTAATTAGTGTTAATAAAATCTATAAAAATCAATGTTAAGATGTAGTTTCTAATTTCTTTCTAGTGATAAATAAGTATCAATATATTTTTCTTTTTACGCATTTCAACTGTTATATATTCTCATTTGATTATTGAAGAGATACGTTGTGTTGTGTTTAATCAAGTGAAACTCAACTGTCTGCACAATGCGTTAGTAGATAACACTGATCGATGTACAAAAGTAAATGTGTTTTTTAAGCTTTTGATTAAAAAGGATTTATGGTTATTATTCCTGGTGGGAGAAAAACGAAAATGATCATGAATTCAGCACATTCTTATATACTTAACAAACTCTTGAGAGAAAGATCGTTTTCACGGAAATAACTTAATAGTACGATTCTTAATGAGGAATATATTGTCTTGTGGTCTCGAGCTGTGAGTTACGAAACAGACAAAATGCCTTACCTGAAATTAATTTCAACTCTCTGATCAAATATAATATTTCATATTACTCAAAATGTACAGAAAGTTAAATTGACAAATTGTCGAATAATATTTTTAAGATGATGGAGAAAATTTGTACCTCACAGTGGATGATTGTAATGGAGTCAATTTTACTGAGCTCTAATGATAATCAGAAACTACCTTTTGCAACATTAAATCATTCACATAGAATGTAAATTAGAACTATCCTTAGTGATAAATTATCGAATCTAATAATTTTGAAGTTATATGCGTGAATGACAGAGATTAAAGAAGTACTTTGTTCCGTGGTATAACTATTAAAGGGATCCGCTGTTTGAGAATTGATCAATTATCTTTAATGCTTTATGATTAGTACTTTGTATATCTTTTCAAAAAACAATTTTGGTGATGATCCATGGTGAACTGAATAAATTTCAACTCGATACTGACAAAAAAATTGTTGATTATCTGACTCGTAAAACTGTGAGCTTTCTCAGTCTAAATGAACTGTTTATTAGAAAACCAGACAATTTATTGCTAATTTTTAATGTGGGAATAAGTTGAAATGAATTACGTACCCATAATTTGTTTGGATAAAACTCACGAAATCTATTAGGTTTTCCATATTGTTTAGTATTCTG